AAAATTTTTTTGTTATATCTATGTAATATTAAATTTCAAATCGACAGATGTGTATCATGTGCTTGGCATATATCGATTATTTTTTCTAGGACCTCCCGCCTTCTCGCAGTAACAGCTCGAAGCCAGAAAAAAAGGTAGACAGCATGCACTGATACATGTATATCTTTTTTCCGAGAGACAAAGAGGAAAAAAGGGGCTATGGATTCCAAGATTTTTGATCGATCTCGTATATTGTTCGCGTCTATTTTCCGATAGAATTACATTACCCACGACCTATTCAATTTTTTCTATATATCAGTAAATTTCAAATCGATGGTCAGTTACCCATATGTAGGCATGTACCTTTTTTCTGAGTATGGGGGAAGGATAAATAATTCCGATTTGAAAAAATATTTTTCTAGTGTATATAACCTAAAGAACTGTTCATAACCTACCCAACCTACTATAACATTAGATCATGTCAGCTATCGTAACTAAAATCGTTGAAAAATACAATCTCAGCTCCGAGATGTGTGTGACCGATCTCAGTCGATACACCTCAGAGTTTCTCGAGAATCTTACTGATGATAGAAAAAGGAATCAGGCACGAAGGCGTCTTCGAGAAGGATTCAAATTTACCAGTGAGCAGGTAAGTATATTAATACCGAATCAGAGAGGTGGGAAAAATAAAACTATAAATTTAGTTGAAGGTAGTTGTAGAATAGTTGTAACCAAGCCCCAAAAAAGTTCGGGAGAAGAGATTATCAGAGAGAAAGCAAAACAAATTTTGCAAAATAGATATGGGTTTAGCAAAGATCAAGTGGATGACTTATTTGCTTTGCAAAGCGACTTACGTCGCCTCTCTACCCAGAAAAATGACCAACCCAAAAGCAGAACCATGCACAAAGTGCCCTGTTCTACAATAAACATTGCTATTTCTAATCGGGTCCCACAAGAAACGATTGGAAAGATGGCGCATCGGCTTTTACGGGATAAGCTTAGTATTCGGGATGTAAGAGCTGAAGCTTATGCCTTAGCCCTATCAGCAAAAAATGCCAATGCTGGTTCATCACGTCTTTTCCGATTCCGAAGAGAACTAAAAAATCTTGGTGCTTCATCCCAAATAATTGAGGCTACAAAATTCCCCGATATTACAGAACAAGCTAACAAAATCCAGGAAAACAATCGGAAAAGGGCTGAAGCCAATCGTATTGATTATCCAGATGAATTTACATTAGAATCAGTCAAAAAGAGATTGGATAGTTATGATACATCTACTGTACCCGATGTACAAGCTCTTGCTGATGTCATGGTGATGCTTTGTATACGTCCTGCTGAGCTTACAACTTTGCGTATTACAGATGCCGGAGTAACAGGATATGCAAAGAATCGGGGTCAACCAGATATTCCTAGAAAATTTAGATCTATGGAGAAGAACCAAGAACGAGCTAAAGAACTACTCACTTGGATTCAGCGTGCAATATCTTCTGGCCGAATGGGAAATCCAGGTAAACCAGGAGTTAAATGGTTCAATAGATTCTTAAAAGATTATAATCTAATTCCCAAATACTTACGAAAATTGGGAGCAGTTTATGGCGCTGTAGTACACAAAGCGGAGAATCCAGGACGTATTATGACAATAGCTGGAGAATGTCTACGTCACAGCCCAGATAACCATACTTCTCCTGTGCAAAATTACGTTGTAGTAAACTACAGAAAGCGCGGACAAAAACCCGAAGAAGCGAGACCATTCCATCTCTATGATGAGAACTAATCACGCTTCTCTGCTTTCACTATATTTACAGTAAAATCTTTATCATCATTATACCATTCAGAGTCGGACTCAGATTCAGAGCTACACTCACTACCAAAAAGTATTTGCCGGATTTTGCCGATCAATAGTAAAACATATGAAGAATCTATTTTTTCGAAAACCCGTATTATTCGTGTTTACTATGCAAGTAACAATAAATTATGTATCGATTTGAAGCTAATTGATTGTATTCTTCGAAAACGATAATGATATATTTTAAACCTATTACCGTTATAAAGCTGTAGTTCGATGAAGTGGCAGTAATAGGTTACACGTACATTTTTCATATGAGCACATATGTGTAACATATGTATTGCTGCTTCGCCGAAACACAGTTTTATTACAATTAATTCATTAAACAAGTTAATACGTTTTTCGAAAAGTATAGTCAATTAGCTCTCGAATGGTACAAAAAATGTGTTATTTGCTTAGTAGATACAGCCGATAGAGGTTTTCGAAAAAATTGATTTTTCATATGTTTTACTATTGATCGGCAAAATCCGGCAAATACTTTTTGGTAGTGAGTGTAGATGAGAACTCAGATGCAGTATCATTTAAAAATCTCTTTTTTCTTTTAGCCTTGCATGGTGTACGATTTCTTCGAGAAATATCGGGGTTTGCTATCGAGTTTATAAGTTCCTGATGAACCTCGGGTTTTACTATCTCCAGTAATTGGTGAAGAGAAATCCGGATTTTTTTATCCAATACTTGCCTACGAATACTGGATATTACTCCAATAGTATTCTGTTGCTCTGTTAAAGACTTGGTTACTGTTTCGATACATTCACGTAATTCTATTGCGGAGCAATGGCTCTTCGAGCCTTGAGACAAGATAGCATTGGCCATGTCAGCTCTGCTGATATTATCTTTAACAATTGCTTCGTCGTTTATCACAGACTTGATGTCAGCTTCGGTCATGATTCGAAGAATCGCCTAAAGGCTTGTAAATGCGAATTATTATTTATTAATACGAATTTAAAAATGCAGAATTAAATATATTGTTATAATAAAACATCACGATGAGAATTTTATCTTGCGAAATTAACAAAGTACCAGTAACAGTTATACTAGATTCCGGTGCCAATTGTAATATTATAGGTGGGGGAGTAGTAAATGGCGTAGGCTTGAAAATCGATGACACCTGCGATGCAGAAATATATGATCCCATTAGCAAGGTCGATGTGCTGGGAATAATTCGCGAAATAGAGATTTCAATCATGTCTCAAGGCACTAAATGGAAAAAAGTAAAAGTTACCGATATTTTTGTTTCTAATGAACCGCAACTTACATTTGTACTGGTATTGGGTCAGCCATGGATTCAGGAAAATGCAATGAAAGTGGATTTCCCGAATAAAACTCTTACATTGCTCGATGGAACTGATATACAATTAGTTATTGGACCAAAAATTCCACCACCAACACAACACAATCAGTCTGTGGATGATTACTTCAAGATGATAAAGGTATATGCTACAGTATTGGATATCGACTTAGAAAATCAAGACCTTAAGGGAACTTTCTTTAATGGCCTATCACGAGATAATAAAAAAGAAGTAATTCGATTTGGCTTTAAAAAGCCTTTGAATGAAATAGTCGATCACTTGAATAGAATCTCATCCGGATATACTGATATTCAAAATTTTCAATTCGGGAATTTGAGTCAAGAGGAGAGTTCGATAATGGATTTTTATATGAAAGTAAAAAAATATTGTAAGTTAGCTGGACATAATGAAGACCATCTTAAACATCAATTTCTTCGTGGATTATCACCCGAGAATCAGATAGAAGCTAGAAGGTGTGGATTGGAACTTCCATTAGATGAGCTAGTAGAGAAACTGAGAATGGTACAACTATATAATAAATATTAATTATTTACCGCAATAGCGAATCACGAATTTGTGCATACGATACATTATATTTTTTAGCTAGATTCGGTAATGCATTTGCTGAACCCCCACCTTCTCGTGACTCCATCACTCGAAGCCAGATAATTATATTTAGTAGCAGAGAATGGGTAGGTATTCGACAGTCTTCGGCTAATTTCGACAAAGAATTTTTATTTGCCGTGATGTATATAGATCTGTGATAATTTTACTTTTGATTTTAGACATGGACACTGATTGATGTTGGCTGATTTTTTGACGAAAACTTCATGTAATTGTTGAAGAGTGACATTCGGAAACAATGGTAATCCCTCACCAGTAAACCAAAATTTCTTTACCCCTCTATCAACGAATTTCTGTATTAACACACTTGGAATATCTTCTAAGGGACCATGAAATTCTTCAAACTTTCGGAGGTACACCCTCGCATTTTTATCGGCTTCTTCTGCCATTTCTTGATTAGTATAGCCAACAATGCCGATTTCTTCCTGAATTGTCGCTATATCGTCTTCTAAGCATAAAAGCAAATCAAATAGTCTAATCGGTTTATCTGAAGAGGCTTTATCCCTTCTAAGTTCTGCTTCTAAAACGGGATTGATATCTATACCAAGTTTCCCCTGTATAGGTATTAAATCCCTCACCAATTCTAACAACAATTCATATGAATCGGCGAGTGTTTTTCCATCAGGCTCGTGGTCTATTTGCTTTAACGTATTACTATTAATACCAAGTTTTTCTTGAATTGCTATTATATCCTTCTCTTTATATAAAAGTACTCCATATAAAGA